AATCACAGGAAGAAGAAATTGGTGTAGGGCCCTTAGATCATTATACACCAATTCAAAAGGTGAGCTATAAATTGTTTAAGAGTGACTAGAAGGTAATCCATGTGACTTACCAAGACAATAGAAAACACAAAAATCAATGTCAATTTTATTGATTATAGGAAAAATACAATTGTGAAAGATAGTTCTCATTACATCATTATTTAGGTGGCCTAGTCTAGAATGCTAAGTGGCAAAATAAATATATATAGTTTCTTGTAGCAATATTCGATGTAGGCTCTTGTCTTGTGGTAGAAAAAGACAAAGAGGGAAATTGGTACATACCATCTGGGCCAACAAATCCCTTGAATAACATTTCTTTAGTATCATGTGATTTCACCAAGCAAATAAAAGGGTGAAAGTTCAAAGTATACAAGATTATTTTTGCAAAATTGATTGACACTTATAAGATTGTTTGTAATGGATGGGACTGAGAAGATTTTTAAGGGCAAAGATAATATTAGGATTAAAAGGAGAAGGAAAACTAGTTACACCTATAAAATTGATATTGAGACCTTAACCCTTTTCAATAGTGATTTGATCTACACCCTCAAAAGGTGTCATTTGTTGCACATTTTGGGAGACATTTGTTACATGAATAGAGGCTCCCAAATCTAGATACCAAACATTTGAACCAAGAAGGAAAGAGTTTACAACCATGGCTTGTGGTTTTAAATGAGCAACTCCCACAAAGCCATTGAAAACCATATACACTTGTGGGGAATTGGGTTGTGCTCCAAGAATACCATTATGACCAGGCGAAGGACGAAAGATTTGTTGAGACGACACAACTTGAGTATTTTTCCACATATTTTATGGAGTAGATTGCATCGTGTGGCTAGGCAAACAATGATCAAAGGATGTAGTAGGAACAAATTTTTGATCAAACCTATAATAACACATAGAAGCAATATGTTCATAGTGGTGACAAACCTGACATTGAACAACGGGGTATCTATCACGTCCTCGACCACCACGACTACCATATCTATCACCTCTGTTTCCATTTCAACCACCACAAAATTGTGAATTTGGTATTGTCTCAAGTCATGCTGAGCAATGTTGGCTTGAGGTTGCACTGTTAAGAATTAGAATTAGATGAGGTTCCAATAACATTTATAGATGCATCCGCTTTCTTCTTGAACATGTCAAGACGCGACTCACATGTGCAAGAAGTAAAGTTTTGATTTCATCAATTAAAAGATCATCAAAATGATTATTGATTAAGGAAACAATATATTCATATTCTTTAGGAAAACTTTCAAGAATTATATCCAGATGTTCTTTGGAGGAAATAGAATCGCCTATGGCTATTAGGGCATCAACAAGAGTTTGAATATGAATTGGGTAATCCAAGACATTACGTGTTTTAAGATTCGTATTACGAAGATCGTTACAGAGTTGGCACACTTTCCCATTTGTGAGTGTGGAAGTACGAGTGAATTATATCCCAAAGTTGAAAAAAAGTACAGTTGATTACACGAGTGAGTATATCCTTCAACTTAGAATATTGAAGCCAAGATAGAAATAATTGATCTTGCTATTCCCAAGCAATATAGGATTTAGAAATACAACTAGCATCACAATTAGAAACCGAGGCAAAATTTGGTGGTATTTACGGATTGACCAAAAAATGATGAAGACAATGTCATTTAATGACAAGTTCCACTTGTTGACACCATAGTAATTAGTTCTTATTGTCAAGTTTTTCAGAGATGGTGTGAGCAAATGCGAGAAAGGCGATGTTGTCAAGCACGCTGGTTGAGGAGAAACATTGTTTAAGAGATTTTGCATGGATAGGTGAAGAAGGCGGTGGCAATGGACCAGAATTAGCCATGCGAAAGTAATAAAGAAGCGAAGCATCGAAAAAAAATGATAAAGAGAAAGGACTAAACCTAGCTCTGTGATACCATATTAAGTTTAAGATAGAAAGATTTGAAAAATAAGATATAATTTATATATTATTCAAGATACAAATATTATAGAGAGTAAGTAGATTATTTATATGATTAGGTGACTAACAAAAGCATTGGTAACCTATAACAATATGATGGACTAAAGGGATTAGTTACACAAAACAAAAAAATATTACTAGAAGATAAAGGAGTAAGATTATACTCCAATACACCTTATATATATATAAATAAATAATCAAACTTAATACATGCATGAATTAAAAGATAATTTTATTCTTTTTTTTTCATTACTATTGCAATTTGTAAGTCATTAAAAGTGAATCCATGATTTTAAAAAGAAGAAGAAATTCAACAGTGAAATGTCAAGCTCGTCCATGGTGGTAGAGCGTCATCGAGATTTAATAGAAAAAGAAAAGAATGTCAAAGTCTATACAGTAGAGTAAACACAACATGGTGGTAGGGCGGCAGAACTAGAGAAAAAGAGTAGCAGAATGTACAGTAGAGTAAACATATAACAAGTGGATTTCTTTTTAAAAATATTAATTTAAAATTTATCTTCATTAACGTTAAAAGCTGGTTAAAGCGTTAACATTGTGACCACTGTGGGACTCCAATGCTAGAATCCGTCCAATAAGATTACCATAAAGGAGGGATGACAACTTTATCAGCAAAATTTCGCAGTGTAACATGATATCATATTGTTATACTCACAAATTATTTCTGAAATTATATATTCTAAACTCAGATTTCTGGGGTTGAATGGCTTTATAATTTGTTTTTATGTAGAATATGACTCAAGATCAATAATTTGATGGTCAGGTTGGTGTGCCTACATATATTAACTTTTGGAATAACACGTATTGAATGCAGCTCTATTAATCTATGCAGTTGGTTTGCTTCTGCATGTGTTTTTAAACTATACATTTTAATATATAGTCATGAATGACCGGAATATTAGCTAATGCCGGCAGTTTTTCAGCATCATCGTGTGGCTATCAAATTGCTATATGCTTTCTTGAGTCTGCAACTTGCTTAATTATCATCTTCAAATTCCAAGCTAGGAAAGCATTTATGATTGGTTTAAAACGTGAAAACATGAAGTCTATCCATGATTTCTTTAAGAAGTATATTCTTTCGGTAGAAAACTTCCCAAGTTTGAGCAAAATATTAAAAAGTCCATCTATTCATGCTTGTTTTAGATGACAGTTCTACACTTCAACTAGGTCAGTTAAAGGTCTTAGCACATGAATGGATAAACTTATTCATAAGCATAATTAAGAGAAAAAATAAAAATAAATGAATTTTTTTTGTAAACTAAAACTAATTTATATATAAGAAAAAATAATTTTTGAAAAAATCAACACAAGCTTTTATGAATTAAGTTATGGATGAGTTAATTTTAATTTATAAAAAAATATTTTAATTTTTCTTCTTATTTTTATTTCATAAAAATTATTATGAAGAAGTTTATTCATAAATACTATTTCTAGTTTAAAATCTCTCATAATTTTGGTTGCTCAAAAGATTCTAAATTGCAATTTTTTTCCTAGAGCTCAATATTCTACTTGCTCACTTTTGTACATTCCTATAATTTGCATCTCTAAATTCTAGAAAAACTTAAAATGAAATATTGTCCAAACTTTAAATCATTTCTTAATTTGATAAGCTTTCATCAATTAAGTGAATATTTGCTTTAACTGTTGTAACAAATAAACACTTATTTATTTGAATGCACTTAGATCCATATTTTTTCATTTGAAAGTATCAAAACATGTGTAAATAATAATACAAACACATCCTAAAACTACAAATGGTTATCAAAGCGGCTAAGTTTGAAAATTGCAGTATTAAATCTCTGCCCTTGAAAAACTTTAATCCATGTGTCGTTCTTTGAAAGCTAGGAATAGAGATCTCGGGTTTGTCTCACAAATGAGAGGATCCCAAGGCCTAGTTTTTAGAACATCAATGTCCCGATTAAGAAAAGCATCACGTGCTTTGCCATGAGAAAATGTTTTGGCATCTACAACAACCAAGAAAAGCTGATTACTTCAGAAAGCAACCTTTACAAGTCCATGCCTGTGACACAAGGTTGTCATCATATCATATTCCTTTGCAAAGTAAGCATACAAAGCTTTTTTGCAACCAGTCACTATGCATTGTGATGTAGTAAGTACTATAATGTTTCTGCATCACATGTCATTTTTTCAACCTTAGCAAATGAATAAATTAAATTCTTTATTTTTCTTTCTTTCAATTTTCAACATATATAAAATCATGCAAGCTATTCAAACTTACTGAACTCACTAAAGTAATTTTTAACAGAATTTAGCATCAACACTGGCCTCAAAACTCTAGCATTTGTTATTTTCATACAAGACAAGACACGTGGTGTGTTTTATATTCTTACTTAACTTGGTTCGTAAAAAACGAAGATTGAAAATTTCCTTTTCAGCTACGCTGCTTTATTAGTCAAGGTGGAACATTCTGTGGTAGCAACAACACGGAGCAAAGAACCTTACTTTTTTTCCAAGTCCAAAAGAGAAAACAAACCATCCTCAATTATTTATAAGTCCAACTACCGTATGGTATGGTTAAAAGCTAGATCTTAAACTTACCTACATGCAAGCCTTAATTAAACTGTTTTGGTTAATAACTATACTCATCTAAATAAACTTATTGCATAGCCTTCCACATTCATAAGCAGTAGTTGCTACTTCCTACCACATGACAAAGTCATAAATTCTGTATTCTCCCATCTGTCATGTATACCATTTTAAGCCATGTTAGCAGCTAGTACTCGTTATAAAGGAAGAAAAAAGCAAACTCCAGATCACATAAAGAAAACAGAATCAAACATAGATCAGAAGAATGAATTCAAATCTAACATAAATATACAACAATACACATATGATATAGAAACACCGTTATATATATATACATATCAAACAAAACAAATGTACGTCAATTAGGTATTAAATACTATAGCACTAGGTACAACCACAGTGTTGTTGTACCTTCCTTGGTGGATCCCATCTCAACTATTTCTCAGATCTTTTTCTTGAGTAGTGGAAGAGGGTTTTTCTCACTTATAACTCTAAATCTTGAAGCAATTCCTATACTTTTCTTTGCCCCCAAAATTTATAACAAATCCTCCATAATTACTCCATACCTCTTCTCTTTTTCTTGTCCACACTAGAGACTATTTCTGCTCCACGTACTGTCACTGAAAACATCTTCTCCAAAACACTCGGACTTCATAACCCTCCATTTTAAGTTTTTAACTCCCCCATAAACCAAAATCCAAAACCCTTCAAAACACCATAATGAGGCCCAAAACCACACACACCCTTTTAACCCCACGTCTCAGACTTGTCATGCTTCTCATCCTACAAACATTTCTTGCCACAAGTGAGGCCAAGACTCTAGCTTTGCCACTAAAGTCACAAGTGATCCCATCTGGGTATCTCCCAAGGCCACCCAACAAGCTTCGTTTCCACCACAACGTGAGCCTCACCGTGTCCATAACAGTTGGAACACCCCCACAGAACGTGTCCATGGTCATTGACACAGGAAGCGAACTCTCGTGGCTCCACTGCAACAACACAACCACCACGCGGGTCATACCCGACCCGCTTTTCAACCCGAATCACTCTTCCTCCTACTCCCCCATCTCGTGCTCTTCGTCGACATGCACCACCCGAACCCGAGACTTTCCGATACCCGCTTCGTGCGACTCCAACAACCTCTGCCATGCAACACTCTCCTACGCCGACGCTTCTTCCTCAGAAGGGAACCTCGCTTCGGACACGTTCGGGTTCGGGTCATTCGTTAACCCGGGAATCGTGTTCGGGTGCATGAACTCTTCCTTCAGCACTAACTCGGACTCGGACTCCAACACAACCGGGTTAATGGGTATGAATCTCGGGTCACTCTCGTTGGTTTCTCAGTTAAAAATACCCAAATTCTCGTACTGCATATCGGGTTCTGATTTCTCGGGCATTTTACTTCTCGGGGAATCCAATTTCTCGTGGGTCGGGCCGTTAAACTACACTCCCTTGGTTCAAATATCCACTCCTTTACCCTACTTCGACCGGTCCGCGTACACGGTTCGGTTCAAAGGAATTAAGGTTTCGGGTCAATTACTAAATATCTCGGGCAATGATTTGATACCGGATCATACCGGGGCGGGTCAAACCATGTTTGATTTGGGTACCCAATTTACTTTTTTACTTGGCCCGGTTTATAATGTACTGAGAGATGAGTTTTTGAAGCAAACAAATGGTACTTTGCGGGTATTGGATGATCCGAATTTTGTTTTTCAAATAGCGATGGATCTTTGTTACCGGGTGCCCATGAACCGATCCGAATTACCGGTGTTACCGAGTGTGAGTTTGGTATTTGACGGGGCGGAGATGCGGGTTTCGGGTGAGCAGCTTTTGTATCGGGTGCCGGGTTTGGTTCGGGGCAATGATTGGGTTTATTGCTTCACATTTGGGAACTCGGATCTTCTTGGTGTGGAGGCATTTATCATTGGTCATCACCAACAAGAGAACATGTGGATGGAGTTTGATCTTGTGGAACATAGGATTGGGCTGGCTCATGCACGCTGTGATTTGGTTGGTCAAAAGCTACTTGGGTTGGGCTGAGTGGGCCCACTTGCTTCATTGGGGGGTGTGGTCCTTAGTGAAGAGATCTTTGAAGGAGAGAGTGAGGGGTTAGTGTATATGTTTAAAGAACTTGGTGATGTTTAAAGTTGTGGGTCCAATTCATTTAGATGGCAGTGAGCTTAGAGGTATAGGTAAGATTAAATGCTTACTTTGTACATTTCATTGTTTTATTGTTTTTAGTAACCAAATAAATTTGAAATTAATGTTGCTTCTTTATCACCCATTTTATAGCTTAAACTCTTTTCATTTTCTTTCAAATTGACGTGTTATTCAAATAAAGTATTAATCGATTTTATAGATTATTAATTTATGTGAAAGAATCTAATTAACTATTTATCACTTCCTTAGTTATAAGTCGACTCAAAATGTCGATTACATTTGTTTTTTTATTGAAAAAACTACCTTTATTTTAAGCATCATTTTCTTTTTTGACTAGGATTAGAGGAGTATGTATTCTCCATTTTAAATCAAGTCATATATATATATATATATATATATAAAGTTCATAATTATCATCATATATTAACTCATTTCTTTAATGATTTTTGGATTCTCTATTTATGAGAGGGGATCACCTAATTTAAATAATCATTGGTTATCTCAAATAAAAATTCCTTGTCAAATCCACAGAAGGACAAGACTTATTTCTGAATGCTCCAATCGGAATGAGATTGCTAGAAATTTTTTTGTTGACAATTTTTTAAGACTTGAACATCTTTTAGGTTTTCTTTCTTACCCACATTTTAATTAATTTTTTATATATATATATATATTATTTATCTTTCAATTGTTTTTAGTTATTTTGCTAAATTTTAAATATGCATAAATTAAAAGTGCATATTTTTTTTAAAAAAATATGTTTATATATAAAAGAGTGAAGTCATATTTTAGTTATTAAAAAAAAAATTTAATTAATTTGTTTATTAATAAATATACTAGAAGTAGTTGCTTTGAATTAAAAGTAGGTTAGGTTCACTTCAACTTTTTTTCAAATATATTGAAGTTGTTGGACTCAATGATGAATTGGAAATGGGAAAAACAAAGGAGCTAAAAATGGAAATCTAATTGTTGAAGTGACTAGTAGGAAATGAAGGTCACAACAATTATTTTTGGATTTATTTTTTTTTATTTTTAAATACCTACAACAATAACACGAGTTGTAATATATTTACTCAAGTAATACATTTTAGTTTGTTAGTGATATTTTCTACCTCTCAAACTCGATTTATGTACATAAAAAGCATTGCTTTTCAAATTTAGCTATTGAGAAATTGAGATTGACCATCCGAATTTCTCAAAGCCACTTCTCTTTTTCTTTTTTATATTTTTATTTTTTAATTCTATTTTATAAACTTAATTTTTTAATGTTAATTAATTAATTTTATTGCAAAAAAATAATTAAATAATTAGTGAATAAAATTATTATTGTATAAATAAAATTATTATTTTTTAAATAAAATTTTAATTTTGAAAAATTTAAGTATTATATTTTTTTAAAAAAAGAATTTTGATTTATCTAGTTAAAAATATTTTTTTAAATAATTTAATAAAAATTGTGACAATGATTAATTGATTAGATAAATTTTTGATAATTAGTCCCATAATTAAAATTGTTTATGAAAATTTTAATTAAATTGAAAAACAATGATAAATCTTATTTGATTAAAATTTAAAATTAAAGTTATATGTTAATAAAAATGATTAATCCAAAAATGGGCGGCTGAAACTCAATATGTTCCACTCCAACATCTACCTACCTATTATGAATATGAGTCATGCATACTTATTCACAGCACACATTAACATGTATTTTTTTCACTATGTTATTGTCGTTAAATATCACATGTCATACAAACATTGGTTGACACAAATGGTAGTGACTTGTGTTGGGATACAAACAAGTCTCACATCGATAAAATAAGAGAAAAAATAACAATTTCTAAAACACACACATACTTCAATGATTGATAAGCCTTTAGGGTGATAATCAAAAGCAAAACCGTGAGAACTTAGGCCCAAAGCAGACAATATTTCACCATTGTGGAGTTGTGTGTTGATGGAAGAGCATGGACCAAAGGTCCAATCACTAGAGCTATTGTCAGGAGATTACTTGAAGATTTGACTGTTTCAGAGCTTGGTGGGCCTAATGGGCTTAGTGGGCCTAGAGTACTCTTTACATGGGCTTTATAGTGACCACTATGATATTTTCTTTATTGAGTAGTATAGTATAGGATTTACATTTCTTAGTCTTGTATTTTGGACCACCTAGAATAAGATTTTTCGGCCTTAGGCTTCATGGGCTTATTTTTGGGCTTTATGGGCCTTTGGTATTTTGGTACCCAATATTAGGCTCATTTTGTTTCTTTTATTATTTTCTATTAATTGTATTTGGTTGGCCATTGTATTTAGTTCATTAGAGTAGGAATATTGAAGGAATACTAGAATAAGTCAAGGAGGCTAAATCTAGGTTTCATTTAGAAGTCATTTAACATGAATTTGGGGTCACATGTTTTAAGCCTAGAGTGTGGCTGAAGATGTGCACGCCAAATCCACTCTAAATACCTCCTAAATGACATTTAGATGCAAGGTTAGCCTAAGATCATAGCCATGCACATGGGTGACCAAAATTTTGAATTTCAAATCTCATTTAAAATTCAAATTTTTGGCGCCAATGGTGTAAGCTTGAGATTGGCGCCACTTGCTTGCCTCCGGATCTATATATAGCTTAATCCTCTCAATTGTAATCACTTTGAACATTTTAAAGAATTCTGATCAGATTTTGATTCAGCCAAATTCTCTCCTCAAAGTCACAATTTCACGCCTAGCTTAGAGCCTTGAGAGCTTCTAAGTCTAGTTCCATTTGTGAGCAATCCGTTGCTCACTTTGCTTTGGTGCTTCCTTCCTCTTTCCATTATGCAATTCTTCTTCTTCTTTGTTGGACTTTGAAGTCCAGAATTTGGTTCAAGGAAGAACTCCAAGTCCAGAGCAAAACCAGGGGAAGATCATTCATCTTCTTCACCTAGTTTTGTCATCATGTGTGAAAGGTTAGGTCCCTTGTTTGAAAAGAGGATTGTTGGAATACAAACAAGTCCCACATCGATAAAATAAGAGAAGAAATAAAAACTTATAAAACACACACTCCAATAATTGAGAGACTTAAAGCAAAATCGTGAGAGGTTTATACCCAAAACGGACAATATCTCATCTTTGTAGAGTTGTGTGTGAAGTAATCTTATAAAAATAACTCTTATAAAATATTCCCTAAACTTAATCAAGTTTTATAGGGTTCAAATCGTACTTTAAATATAAAATAGATTATATTAGTACTTATTACCAATACTATAGTTACAATATATATATATATATATATATACATGTCATTTTTTTTATTAGAAAACATAATGAAAATAGTATAATATTTTTAAAAGTTTTTTCTCTATAAAAATATCCCTTCATTTAGATATTTTTGTTAATTGATATTTCAAGAGTTTATTTCTTTTATTGTCTTTATTTGAGTTGCTAGTCCCCTTACATATAAAATAAAAAGCTATGAATTATATTAGTTAACCAACATACATATCATGTGATCCTTGTCTCATTCACTTGATTTGATTTGAAATTAATTTTGAGGAGTTTAAATTTTAAGATTTAAAATTATTTTAACTTGAGTTACTGTTTTCTTTTCTTTTAAAATTTATATTTTCTAATAGTCATTTCAACAAATGAAGTTAGATTTAAGACTAAAAAATAATATTAAAATTTCAAGTCATTTAAAAATTATAGATAAAATTCATCTTAATGCATGTTATGAACACTCACATCTCCTTTTCTTCTTGTCTAACTAATTGTGACAAAGAATGTTTATTCAATGACATGATAAGAGAGAAAGACACAAATTTCACTTGTTCACAAACCTACCATTTTGCATTGCATATATGATTTGTGTTTTTCTTTCCGGTATCATGATACCTAAATGTTCCTCAAACAAAATTTCAAATCTGTTATCTAATTGTCTATATGTTGTATCATTCATTGTATGTGCTTGAAGCACACATGGGAATAAGAAAACCTAATAATATGATATTTTCGTCCTTTGATCTTATTTCTATTGAGGTTAATACTCGTGTGGCATGGCAACTAAATCTATATCAGTCTGATTCTAACCCAATTTTAAAAGAAAAAATTACATTGGTTGAATACGAGTTTGGATATAGGTTTTCTTTTATTTGAAAAATCAAATTCGATTCTAAGTTTATATATATAAGTTCCTGTCTCTAGATCTATCCTGCTATATTTGTTTTACATTTTTTGGATACAACAAAGATATATATTTTGAGTTCAAGATTCTCTTGGGTCCTTTTTCGTTAGTCTCATTTCCCTTAGTTTTCCTCTTGTTTGAATTTTTATATTCGTATCCACTAGCCTTGTGAGAGAAGACTTTGGGTTTGGTTTGAGAAGTCTTGAGACTTGAGTCAAAATCAATACCAGTTTTGTTAGATGGAATCTTTCTATGTTTTAACAAAAGATTTAGTTTTGTGGCTCCATCTATAAACTTAGTTAAGTCTTTCCTGAGTTGAATATTTTCATTTCTCAAGATTTCTACATTAGGAGGAACAAAACTAGTGATCTTACTTTTGAGACATAATATTTCTTTAGCATCATCTAACATTTTTCTTTTGAGTTTAAGATTCTCTTTTTCCAAGGCTTTATATTTTTCTTTTAGCTTTTTGTACTAAAGGGAAATCATGTGAGAATTAGCTAAGAGTGTCTCAAAAGACATTTCATCATTGTCAGATTCAGATAAATAAGAGCTAGAGTCAGAATTTACCTCTATATCAATTATGTTTGACTCAATAAGATAGATGTTAGTAACTTCTTCATCTAAACTACTACTTTCGTCGTCAAGATCCTTCTAAGTGGCCATAAGACTTCTTTTGATCTTCTTTTTTGCTTGACCACCTTTTCCTGAGTTATGGACAATCTGCTTTTAGATGTCCAAGTTGCCTGCATTTGAAGCAGACGATATCCTTGGCCTCTCTTTTGTTGACCTTTCTTTCTTTCTCTTGCTTTTTGTGTAGGTTCCTCAATATTCCCTTTTATTTTAGCATGTTTTTGAATTTCTTGGACATTAGGGAGATTTCACTGTCTATTAAGTCTTTTGAGGTATCGTTTGACCTGTTTGACTCAAATTCGAGTTTTAGTGCTTTTCATCTTTCTTTTTTTATGCTTGTCTCATTGCTTTTCAAGGCAATATTGTCTTTCGCCTTGGGTGCTCCACGAAGTGCTCCAAGAAGTTCATCTAGAGTGAGAACCTTTAAATCCCATGCTTCAAGATGGCAGTGGCTTTAGGTTCCCAAACTTTAGGAAGATTGTCTAGGATTTTGAGATTATTCTAAGCTTTGGTGCGCTCAATTCCCAAGGATTTTAACTCATTTAGAATTGTTTGAAATCTTCCAAATATTTTGTCAATGGTTTCGATCTCCTTCATTGAGAACAACTCATAGTTCCTTTAAAGAGTAGCAGCTTGTCTGAGTTTGACATCCTTAGTGCCCTCATGAGTTACCCTGATGGCATCCCACATCTCTTTTGAAGTAGAGTAGTTGCAGAACTTGTTGTACTCAATTTTGGATAAAGAGCAGGCAAGTATGTATCTTGCTTTGGTATTCTGTTACAAAATGTTATAATCTTCCCGAGTGTATTGACTCCCAAGTTTAGTTACTTTAATGTCATGTTGGGTGATGATCCTCCAGAACTAGTACTAGGTGGACTTGATGAACATTTCCATCTTGTCCTTCTGGTAGGGATAGTCCTCTCCATTGAAGGCTAGAGGCCTTTTGAGAGAAGCTCATTTCGGTAAGTATTATCCTTCACTACTTCCCATTTTGGATCTTTTTCCTTTAGCACTATTAGATGCTTAACCCTGTTAAAGTATGAGCTCTAATACCAATTTTTGGAGAAAAAGATACACACTAGAAGGGGGTTGAATAATATATATCAAAAACTCGCACTTTTGTAGTGAAGTAGTAATCAAACGAAATGCTGAAAGTGATAAGATGAAGTACTGTAAAGCAATAGATGAAAAGGCACAAATGTTTTTATAATAGTCCATCTCAAACATAGAGACTATACGTCCAATTCTCAATCCAACCAGATTGAGTTTCACTATCTTGTATAAGATACAAGTATTATTTTACAAAACACTTTTGACTCGACACCAATTATTCTTTTAACAAGCCTCTCCAGGCTCAAACTCAAGTATTCTTTTAACAAGTCTCTTTAGGCTCAACACCAAGTATTTTTTCAACAACTCTCCAGGCTCAAACCCAAATATTCTTTCAACAAGTCTCTCTAGGCTCAACACTAAGTATTATTTTGCACAAACCTCTCCAGGTTCAACCCTTAGATATAAATTTGACAAGAGTTATAAGAATAGTTTTGTCTCTTTTAGACATGATACTATGAAAATATAGCACAAATAGACTACAAAGAACTATATACAAGATTTGTAATGAAGAGCTTCTTTGTAGTGTTTTAGCTTGTTCTCAGTATGTTTGATAAAATGTAAACTGCTCAATGAATGTTGATCTTTTATGTACAATGCTTTTCTTCGTATTTTATTCTTTGTATATGTCACTCTTTTTCTTTGTAGTTTGAAGGCTTGATCCTTATATAGTAGCTTTAGAGAAGATGACCGTTGTAGCAACGTTGAAATTTAAACGTTTAAATTTCTTCACAAGTTGCTTTGTTTGTCTTCCTTGCTAATCTTAGATATTACCCTTGATGCATTTAATACAAAAATTAAATGCTTATCAGTGATGCATGTATCTCTAATCTGATCCAGGCAAATACTTATCATCATTTCCTTCTACTTTTGAATGTAGCAGATAGTGTCAATGTAAAGTAGTTAGGACTGGTGCAGAACAGTCTTTTCAATCCTTTTTCGTGATATTCAGGATTTTGCTTTTTTGACTTTTCACAATTTGTTTTTGTCTTTTTCGTCTTTAATGTACTTCAAGAGTTTCGAATCTTTGTTTTGTTCACTCTGCTGAGGAATAACACATTAAATGAAGTTTGATGTTAGTCTCAAGAGCAAAGTGGTTGTTTTACCATTACTAATAATTAAAAATAGGTTTACATCAAATGTATATTAACTATGAGAGCATACCCTGCTCCCTCAACCCAATTAGTTTGTAATCCAAAAATAGGTGGCCGAAGCTCAGTCTGCTCCACTTTAACATCTACTTACCTATTATGAATATGAGCTATGCACAACCATGTACGCCTATTCACAACACACATTAACATGTATTTTTTTCACTGTGTTATTATCGTTAAGTATCACATGTCATACAAACATTGGTTGACATAAATGGTAGTGACTTGTGTGGCTTAATCAAGTTGTACAGGGTTCAAATCCTAATTTTATATATGAAATAGGCTATATTAGGAGAAGAATATTTGCCTTATGTACACTTATGATCTTCAACAAAGATTAATCACAACTTTTGACGATGAATACTTATTACCAATACTATATTTAAAAAAAAAAAAAGAAGTATCACATGTCATTTTTTTATTAGAAAATATAATGAAAATAGTATAACTTTTTTAAAAGTTTTTTTCTCTATAAAAATATCCTATGTTTGTTAATTGATATTTCAAGAGTTTATTTCTGTTGTTGTCTTTATTTGGGTTGTTAGTCCCCTTACATACAAAATAAAAAATTGTGAATTATATTAGTTAACCAACATACATGTCATATGATCCTTGCCTCATTAACTTGATTTGATTTGAAGTTAATTTTGAGGAGTTTCAATTTTAAGATTTAAAATTATATTAACTTGGGTTAATGTTTTCTTTTCTTTTAAAATTTATATTTTCTAATAGTCATTTCAACAAATGAAGTTATATTTAAGATTAAAAAATAATATTAAAAATCTCAATGCATGTTATGAACACTCGCATCTCATTTTCTTCTTGTCTAACTAACTGACAGAGATATCTATTCTAATGGATAAAAGGCTGGGTCAAAGGATCCAAACCCGAGCCACAATCCCGGGTCGTTAATCTTTCCGGGTCAACCAGCTCCAAAAGTTATACTCAACTTGACCTTTCAACAATTTAACAATAAGCAGTGAAAATCTGAGGTTTGGACTTGAAACTGTAGATATATAGATGCAAAATCAATGCCTGTCCTAGAAAATATAAGGGAGATTCTCAAAGACATAAATTTCATTGGCAGTAACATCAAAAGCTGTTAGAGTTAGCATAGCATAGAATGAAATTAACAACCGACACAGCTAACGAAACAATGTGATGTAAACATCCAGCTTTCCCTTTTCTTCCTTTATTAGCAAGTATTAACGGTAGGAGCCTGAGGTTTACCTCACAACCGAGTCCATCAAACCCAATTTGTGATGCTCAATCCCTTTCATATGTCTACATTTTATTTATTTTATTCTCACTCAAAGTGCACAAATGGAAATATTTAATCCAAAGATAATCTAATTTGACCAAATTGGCCCCGGATCCATTTAAACTATCGTGACACTTCATGATTATGTGATTTTGTACAGACACTCCAGATTATTTTTTTTTTTAGGTTTTTAATAATATTTTTTTACGTGGATTACAATGTAATGTTTTTTTAGATGATTAAAGGGATTAGCATAATGTTTAAGCAGTGTTAGTATAATGTTTTTTAAACAATTAAGGAGAATTATTGTCGAAGTAGAAAAAATAAGTGTTTGAACAATTTCATGAAACTTCAAAAGACATTTGTACAATTTTACAAAACTTTAAAATGTGTTTATGTAATTTACTCTTGTCATTAAAGTAGATTGACTATTCAAACTCTGATTTGATGATTGTAATTTTGATGAATAAAAAATAGATTAACTACTGTGAATCAAAGCGAATAAATAGAAATATATAATAAAAAATGTTTGCAGTGATATGTAAAATCCCATAAATGGAGGTGCTCAATATCTGATAAATTAGTAATTAGTTGTTAACTCTCAGCCAAAAATTACTTCGAGTTCAAAAGTAAAATAAAGTTATTAACTAAAATTAACTTGAGTTCAAAAGTAAAATAAAGTTATTAACAATATTATCACAATAAATATCAAAAGTTTAGTTGGATCTGTTACTGTTCAATCTGATTTATGATGACACGGACCATTGCCATTAACTGATAACAAAATCTATTGAGTTGGGGTAAATTTGATCTAGTATCATTCTATCATTACGTGTCTTACAAGGGTCATTTTGGAAAATGAAGTTAGACCGTTAGAGGAAGTTCCAGAATAATATAATCTGGCTTGTAAAGTACTCTATGTTGTTAAGCATTGCCAGCAGCAAGCTAGTGGCATGGTTCGAGTTTGGAACATTGTTGCTGAAGGCATTCCAAGTCTGTGATGTCTCATTTTCAATCACCTAATTATCTAATCCCACTAATCCAATTTCTACTATATAAGCTGCCTCACTATGCTGTTCTCTCCATCCAAAGAAAAAATATTATAAGCTCTATTGTCTAGTTGAAGAGCTTCAAAAGAAGATTTAGAAGAGAATAAGGGAAATGGGTTGTGCTTATCTCAACATGCGAGGATTCATGAGAGCAATGTTTCTTATGTTATGTGCTCTGATGATACTGCCAGAGCTAACACATGCAAAGCATGCAAGAGTAACTAGGCACTACAAGTTTAACGTATGTGTACTGTAATGCATTTCATTGCAATGGTTTTTTTATACAAAGAAAGATATGCTTTCAAGTTTCAATCAATTTTACATATATTAATTTACTTTTACTGACTAATATCCTTTTTTTTTTTTTTTTTTCTCTTCAGATTAAAATGCAAAACTTCACAAGGCTTTGCCAAACAAAGAGCATTGTAACTGTCAACGGACAATTTCCTGGTCCTAGAATTATAGCAAGGGAAGGCGATAGAATTGTGGTCAAAGTAGTTAACCACGTTCAGTACAATGTTACCCTTCATTGGTATTATTATAAAACTATACCCCTTGAATCAATTTGTTGTGATTATTGAATGGTAGCATTTTCTCAACATTTGATTCATTTTTTCAGGCATGGAATTCGCCAACTGAAAAGTGCATGGGCTGATGGACCTGCCTATATCACACAGTGTCCAATTCAGACAGGCCAAACTTATGTGTACAACTTCAGAGTCATTGGCCAAAGAGGAACATTATGGTGGCATGCACATATCTCATGGCTTAGAACAACTCTTTATGGTCCAATTGTCATTCTTCCCAAAAGACACGTTCCTTACCCCTTCACTCAACCCTTCAAAGAAGTGCCCATCATATTGGGTAAGGGCAATCCTCCAGACCACATCACAGAATTTAGTGACACTGGCATATTATAAACTTCACATTTTTCCTAAACTGGTATGCAATTCTGAATAAAATTGCAGGGGAGTGGTGGAAAGCAGACACAGAAGCTATTATAAACCAAGCAATGCAAACAGGATTGGCACCAAATGTCTCAGATGCTCACACCATTAATGGCCTTCCAGGTCCTGTCTCCAACTGCTCAGCCAAAGGTAAGAAAACAGTAAGGAAAACAAAAACAATAGAAAATAGTATATACACTGAGTTTTTACACTATTATCTAATTATAAATTGTCATGTAAGACTAATTTGTTGACTTTTATACTAACTTAAAAGTCATACCTACCATGATTTCTGATCGGTAGACCATACAAGATTTTACATTGACAGGACATAGAAATTAAATTCAAAATAAAGATGGAAGAAAACCACAAACATTGTCGGTTTTTGATAAAATATGATTATTGATTGGTTTCATTCCTTTTAAGTTAATCTGTCTATTTCTTCAGATACTTTCAAGCTCAAGGTGAAGCCTGGAAAAACATATTTGCTTCGTCTGATCAATGCTGCACTTAATGATGAGATGTTCTTCAGCATAGCCAACCACACCCTCACTATGGTTGAAGCTGATGCAGTGTATGTGAAGCCCTTCAGCACCAACATTGTTCTGATTACACCTGGTCAAACAGTCAACGTCCTTCTCAAGGCCAAATCCAAGGCTCCAAATGCCACATTTGCCATATCTACAAGGCCCTATGCTACAGGTCCAGCTGCTTTTGATAACACCACAGCCACAGGGTTCCTTGAGTACAAGAAGAAATCTTCACTCTCAAGCAACAAATCAAACACCAAGAATCTTCCTCTTCTTAGACCAGCCTTTCCCAAATTCAATGACACTGTCTTTGCAATGAACTTCCACAACAAGGTTCGCAGCTTGGCCAATGCAAGATTCCCTGCTAAAGTTCCAAAAACTGTGGACAGACACTTTTTCTTCACTGTTGGCTTAGGAATCAGCCAATGCTCAAAAAAGGAACAATGCCAAGGGCCTAATAACACAAGGGTAGCTGCTGCAGTTAACAATGTGACATTTGTGACACCAAACATTGCATTACTTCAAGCACATTTTTTCAACAAGTCCAAGGGAGTATACACCACTGATTTCCCAGCTAACCCTCCTTTCAAGTTCAACTACACTGGCACTCCACCAAGCAACATCATGGTGAGTAGTGGGACCAAGGCTGTGGTGTTGCCATTCAACACCAGTGTGGAGTTGGTCCTGCAGGACACAAGCATTATTGGAGCTGAGAGTCACCCTCTTCACCTTCATGGCTTTAACTTCTTCATTGTTGGTCAAGGCAATGGAAACTTTGACCCCAAGAAGGACCCCAAAAAGTTCAACCTGGTTGACCCTGCTGAGAGGAACACTGCTGGTGTGCCATCTGGAGGCTGGGTTGCTTTGCGCTTTCTTGCAGACAATCCAGGTGGGAACTATTACTATATCATTACAAGTATATATATCTATTTGAATATAATTAAAATGAACTTTCACCTAATCACATATTATCACAGGGTAATTTTGTATAATATTCAATGTCATATTAGACATATATTCATAACAACATTAGAATAGTACTTTGATAATAGTTCATGGCACCAGTTCTTTTTAATCAGTGGAAGATAAGTTTAATGAAATTTAATTTAAAAACCACTTTGAGGGTAGGAATTAACATTGAGAAAATACTTTAATATCAATAATTCAATTTGAAGGAGGACCAAGGTAATATGAAGTGTATCTTAAAACTACCATATTCTGGATTTTCGGGGTGATTCGTTGTGGGTTTTTGTAACATTATTTTGCTGATCTTACATGAACAGGTGTTTGGTTCATGCATTGCCACCTTGAAGTGCATACAAGTTGGGGTTTGAAAATGGCATGGATAGTCCAAGATGGAAAACGGCGCAATCAGAAGCTGCCACCTCCACCCTCTGATCTTCCCAAATGTTGAAAATAGCGATACCTTCATGTTTTTGTTTTTCTTTGTCAACTTTTGGGGTTAGATTTGGAAGTATTGCTCCAGCTTATGGTTTTCAATTTTGTTTACATCCTTTCCTTTTTCTCTAAATTTTGGGATTACTTTCCTCTGTAGCCAAAAAAAGAATGTTTGGGCAATTAGATTGTTATGGTTGTTTCAGTTCTTATGGGGTCACTCTAGTTAGAAAAACTATGAGTGGAAAGAGTTGTATGTAGGCTACATATTCAATATCTATTTTGAATTGTAATACATTATCTTTTGCCAGATATGGTAATATGATTATGAAAGGACCAAAGCCCCTTTAGCAAAGATTTGTGTATCTTACAGAAAAACTTACATACTTCTAGGTAACATTGAAAATATTATTTGTTACCTACGTTTTTTTTATTTATTTATTTTTATACAAATCTTCTAAAACAAGAAATATATTGAAAACAAGTGACAGATTTATAATCAAAAAAATCAAAAACAAAAAGTAAAAGCACAAGTAAATGGAGCCTAAATCTCTAATAGATGCATGATTATGTATATCTTTTAAAAATTAAAAGAAACAATTTTGTTTCATCTTGATTCTAGGCATGTAATTAATTAGTAATTATTGTGATTTGGCTGCATAGCATTATTTAAATAAGAGAGGGTGGTACATGAACAATTGAATTGTTCCTAAAAGTGTTACATTCACAGCAAATTTCCTATGCTCACAGGTTGCAGATAAGTCAGAAGGCATACATGGGGGACCCAAATGGTTCTTCGAGCACTCACCAGCACTGCACATTTACTCACGTGCCATCATCTTCGCATGTTGCCACCGTTACATTTCTTGATACATTTTTAATATATGTTTTATTCTTAAAAATATAACTAAATTACTTAGTTTTTTCATTTATTAAAACTTTCACAAAATCAAAGTTTTTAAATTGTGATATAAATTGGTTAAAAAAATTGTGATCTAACTTGTAATTTATTCATGATAGTCATGATTGTAATTTTAGTCATACTAAACTTATTAAGGTTGATTAATAAAAAAGGGGGTAAACTAACATGCATAAATAAAAACGTTTTAGGTTTAAATTTTGCTTTCCTTATTGTCTACTAAAAACTTTTACAGTCATAAATTGTGATTGCGATCTTAATGGCTGTTGCATGTAATTCTTAACATTACCAAACATTGTAAGTGAGACTGTTGTAATTGTAACTTATTAACAAAAAAAATGTTGATATTAATTATATAGTTAAAATTTATTAGAATCATGAAAAAAAAATTAAATAAATTTTCATTGGATGTGTTAATAAGAGTACTGTGATACTAAGATGGGGTGAACTTGACTTAGTTAACTTGTTTAGTGGTATGCACGCGCCATGGAGTGTATAGGAAATGGCAAGAAGGAGACAACGAAGGGTGTGGATGTTATATTCTCGGATATACTGAGCATGGCATCCTTAAAGTTTTCATCTTCTTTTCAGAGGTTCTTTATCTCTCTCTCTTTCTTTCTCAGGCTCAGCTCTAGAAACTTGTCTTTAATATTCTGTGTTTTTTTAATCACAGTCTTTGATTTTCTGGATCCAGATGGAGGAAAGCATGGAGAACCCTTCTCAAGTTAACAGGTTTCAGTTTTCACTATCTGGGTCTTCAGGATTTTCCTCTCTTCTTGTTTTTGCTCTGTTTGATCACTGTTTGTTTCCCCTTTTCAGCATTTCATGTTAAAGCTTTGTTTTTTTCTTTTTGGTAAGAAGGGGGCTGAAAGGCCCATTTTATGTCATAGATTTGATGCTACTGTTTCTCTCATCCAATATGGTATATTAAAACCTTGTTGCTTATGTCAGTAGCTGAATGTTGAAAATTCGCCTGGAAGTATGAGATTTAGGGTTTCTTTTTGTATTTTTAAAAACTATTTTTTTTTTGTTTGTGTTGTTTATGGTGTGAAGTATCACTGACTCTGCTGAAAACCCGAGTGACCACTTTGGAAACTATTTTTCGGCTTTAAACTTATTTGGTAAAAGTATTTTTTAATAATAAAGTTAGAACATCTCTAAATTTTTTATTTATTTTATTATTTATGTTCTTTTTTACATTTTTTGCATCTTTTTCTTCATTCTGACTCTCTAAAAATTATTTTTTGAAAATTATTTTGTAAAATAATTTTTAGAAACTAAAACCCAAAAACACAATTGTACACACTAGTTTCTTACTTCACGAAAAAAAAGAAGCTTAATTAATCTAAATCAGTCGTTTGATAAAACTTTTCTAATTTCATTGGCTATTTTTATAAATAATTACAAAAATTCTTACCATTTTAATTTTAATTTGTAGCCTGTTTTTAAGGGTTTGTACCAGAAACAGTCAAAGCATGTAGATTTGCTTTAAAGAGTCAAGCATTAGGTATGTTTGTCAGAATATGATATGATCAATAGACAAAATTATGATTGCAGATTTAAGTGTTTGGATTGCATTTTGGCGCATAATGGGATTTACTTCCTTTGGTCCTGTTTTTGGTGTTTATGTTTCTATTATGAGAACCTTCAAATTTGAATTCCAGAAATTGTTAGAAATTTGAGGAAAATATGCCCTTTACTCTTCTGGTTGTTTGCAAGTTGAGAATGTTTCACTAGCAAAACATTAACAGCTCTTTTGGGAAGTTTTGTTATATGATATGTGAAACATGCCATGTAATCCATAAATGGTTTCCTCCATTATTACTGCAGAAGAACTTAGCCTTTCAATTGCGCCCCCCTCTTTTTTTGTTGTTTAGATTTTGACACCGTATTACAGAATAACTGCAAAATAATTGTTTTATTCAAGAATTCCTCCAAGTATGTAGTTAGAACCATGTAAAAAAAAAAATCCACAGAGCATTATAATCTGTCTGCTTGGTTATTTTTACATTCAAAGTATGCATTTCTGTTTGCAGCTATGTTTGCACCAGTGAACATGCCTGAACATATGTAAAATTTATAAGAACAACAAAAGCTCTTTTCCACCAAGTGAGATAGGCTATGGATCATACGGCTCCATTCTGCTATGTTTTAAAAAAAAAAAAGAACATTTTAGGAAACGCCATTTATACATATGAAAAGTACTTTGATGGAATTAATTTTCTTTGTCATCCCATTCTAGGCAAGGAACTGATCATATCCTGCTTTTCATGTAATAGTCCGTGTTGTGCTGTGTCATTTGTTCTTTAAAATGCTTAAGTTGAGGCTTTGAGCTTTTTCCTTGTTACACAAAACAAAATAGATAATGAACTATGAAAATTTGACCTATGCTATGTTGAAATACAAACAAGGTCTCATGTCGATAAAACAAGAAGAGAAATGAATGTTTATAAAGTACACACATAATTCTGAAAAATAACCAATAGCAAAATTGTAAGAACTTAAGTTCAAAGCGGACAATATCTTACTAATGAATGAGGAATTATGTGTGCAAATAACCTAATAAAAATAACAAAATATAACCCTCTCCTCTTGATAAATATATTGTCTCATATAAATATCATAACATAACTATAACATGTTGCTTATACACGACTTGATTATGGTCTAATATGGGAATATGTATTATGTGACATATGATCCAGACATCTGGAACATCGAGAGATTGATTACAATATATACCTTTCTAGTTGTAGGTACGACTTTTCCAATTCAAATCAAAGAAATGACAGGAGAAACCAAGAATTAATGGTGTTTTAGATCCTTTTTTGTCACTGCACACTCTTGATTCATTGACTATAGATTAACATGAGCAAAATATTAATTGAATAACCGTTCTTCTTCATGTCTTGACTAATTAATTCCTTTTCTATATGTGTGGAGTGGAGGTTCTTTTGTCATTTTTTATTTGTCTTGATTTGTTTGTCCTTCGTGTTCACACCGACATTTTTCTGCTATTTTTCAGATTCCAGGTGGATGATATTGGAATGCACAATCTTGACATTGTTGAGTGGAAAAAGAAGAGAAAATTACAGAGTGATCAATTGGATTTGCTTAGACCAAAACATAAATGCTGGGTTGGAAGTTTCCCTTCTGATCATGCTTCAATGTATGATGAAAATCCAGTTTTAGAGTGCATGCACAACCACACAGTTGAAAAGTCCGAACCTGAATCTGCCAAAGACAGCAATAGTTTTATTGAAGACTCTGATACTGCCATGTCTGTAAATGAAGAAGCCAAACATGAGGCAGATTGTGAAAATTCATACTTATATGGTAGGCCTTCCACTTCTTTGGCTAATTGAGATGACTATAATGTTACAAAATGTTACTCTTACACTTTGATTTTTACACCTACCTTTTATGGAGAAAAAGGGGGAGGGAGTTCACCTTCCCCTTCACCATGCATTTTTTTACCATAAAAAGATTCTTTTAAAGGAAAGGGTACAAAATCTAGTGTAGGAATAAGATGATGCTTATAATGCTAAGGGTAACCACTGCTCTTTGGATGTCTCAACAGTAAATAGGGTGAGATATAGCGAGGATGAAGAGTTTGTTGATGGTGAATATGTTCCACCTTATGATGATGCCGATGCACAAGCTTTGAACAATCATGAGGATGACCTTCTGGGGTTAGGAGGCTTTTCAGGTCATGAATGCTCAGAGTATGCTAAAGACAGCAATGAGTACCCTGTAGATAAGGAATTTGAAGATTTTCTTTTTTCTAGTGGGGTGAATCCTAATATGTGTGTTCTTTCATCTGGAAGATGGAATGTAAATCAAGGTATTATGCTTGTTCTAGACAGTTGATATGTATGAAGATTGGATCGTGCTAGAACTAGTGAAATTAGTTTCTAGGTTACCTGCATTTAATAAAGAAGTTTTGTTTAGTAATTCCTAGGTTAACATAATAATGTTTTCAATGCAGAAGCTCAATCAAGCTCAAGACAACCAACAATTGATCAAGAGTTTGAGGAGTACTTTTCTATGCTTATGCTCTAGTAGTGTTTACCTATAAAGTGAAATGTAAATATGATTCTGAAATGGCTGTTGTATGTGTTGTTCGAAGCTTTACTAGTTATTCTAATGACTTTATAAAAAATTCAGTAGGTGTAATATTTCTCTTCTTTATTTCCCACCCTTCGCATCCTTCATGCATACATTACATAGTGATGCCGCAGTTCTCATTATCTTCTATATTGCCCCTTTGTATTTCTCATTTTACTTCAAATTATGAGTGTAATAGTTATTAATTATGAGTTTAATAGTTATGTATTATCAATCGATCAATAAAAATTTGGTTGGTTGTATAATTTTTAAGATAATTATTATAAAAGTCAACAAATTCATTATATATCGTGATTTATAATTTTTTTAATAAAAACTATTGACATATAATAAAAATACCAACTAATTAATTAAATAACGTAGCATTCTAGCATAGCATGCTGCTTTTAGTGCAAATTTTTTATTTTTGGAGTAATAAGTATTTCCTCTTAACTATTTAAGTTTTTAATTTGTTCGCATTTAGTTTCTCATTTATTTTTGGCTAAAAACCTATTTTGTTCCCTTATAATAATTGTTTTTTTATTTTTTGTCTCAATTTGGTCCCTAATAAATTAATTGGTCTCAATTTGGTCCCTAATAAATTAATTGGTTTCAATTTGGGATTTCCGTCTAAATTATTTAAACGGAGTTAACTGTGTGACCACGTGGATGCCACGTAGATGCATAGGTGGATGCCACGTGGATGCCAATTTTTTTTAAAACACCTAGAATCAGAACGGCACGTTCTAAAACCAGAACGGGCCGTTCTGGTTACACTTTTGGTGCGTTAATTTTGCATCCGAAACTGCCCGTTCCAGGTGCAAAATTTACACACGAAAAGTGCAACCAGAACGGGCCGTTCTGGTTCCAGACTGCTAAGCATAAACGATCAATGATTATAGTTCACGGTTGTGAATCATGGAAGGAAAAAGACCCAAGGTACAAAGCATTTCAAACATTGAATTTGGTAATATTGTCAATGGAAATTGATAACTTCAATTGCTAAACAGTTAGGCTATACAATATATTATTTTCAATTGCTAAACAGTTAGACTATACAATGTATTATTAAGGAAAATGCAATGTATCACTAAAGACAATCGTAGCAGATTTTATTTCATTTCAAACTGGAGTGAACCACTTACTACCAAATTGACACTATACAGTAAAAGATGAAATGACATAGTATTTTTTCTTGAAGTCATTAACGATGTACCCCAACAACAACAACCTGTTCTTGAAGAGGTAGAACCTGGGGTAAAGGAAGAGGATACACAGGACTAACATTTCACCACAACCATATGCAGGGACAGATCTAAGTTAATCATAGTGATAAAACTAAATTGAAACAAACAATTATTATAAATGACCAAAATAGGGTTTTAGCCTTTATTTTTCGTTAACAATTTTAGTCTCCGATAATAAATTGGAATTTTCAAGTGATAATAATGTGTTCAATGGAAATATCTATTAGCTCAACACATGTCCACACGGCAATTGTGGCATACATACCACATGGCATCATTTGGAGGTGTCATGTGACATGACATCATGTTTTCTATGTCATTTAAAGTTTCTATAAAATTTTGAAATTTAAATTTTATTCTTTATAAGATTTGCACCTTTTGATTTTAGTTCCCGTTGAATTTTCATTTTCCGATGTTAGTCCCTTAGAATTCAAATTTTAGTTTTAGTCCTTAATTTTTCCCTTATTTTAGTAATTTTTATAACTCTCATCTCTTCTTCATCCATTTTCATCTCACCAATATAATTGCACAATATCACTTAAACCATTATTAGATAATAATAAGATAAAAGTGAAATCACATTGTCTACACATCTAGTCGAGTACATTTATTTTCTAGAGAAAACATTTGTCCATGACTTAAATATTAATTCCTTTTTAAGAAAGACACAATTTTTATACTCATGATTGAGTTATACAATAAAGAATACACAAGTCATTTTTTCACCTATAACCTTTAAGAAATAAATATATACGTATTTTTCCTCTAATTTTTGGAAATGGAGAAATAAGAGAACTAGAGAAGGGACATAATCATATAAAATAGGGAGTTCAAATGTCAACTCAAATAGTTAATCTAAGTAACCCTAGATGTTAAAAGTGAAGTTTCGGTTGAGTGCTATATTTTAGTTCTCAAATTAAACTTATAAGTGATCATGTTATTACTTACAATTAGAGGATAAATATGTGACTTAGACTTTGAATATAAGCAAAACAATGATCAAGAGGCCATATCATGAGAGGAATTGATCAAATTTTAATTATCAGCTAATGCTTTAAATATTCCATCAGAGGGCAAAACCCTTGTGACTGCTCATTTCAAACCAACCAACCAAACATGACAACAACATCAAGACAAACCGAACCCTTCACCTGAACAAACCCCATTGTAGTGTGACATGCACGAGTCATAACTTATTCGTTTTCCCTTAACACATCAAAAGAATTTCACAGTTGTTGAAAAGAAAGGAACAAACAACATTGGAGAGTAACTAAGTAAATGATGCAGAGCCAATGAATCTGGACCCAAAAGGGTTTTAGTCAAAGTCAACATTTTGGAAGATCAGAAGGAGGTGGTTGAAGCTTCTGGTTGGGCCCGGGCCCATCTAATACAAGCCATGCCATTCTCAATCCCCAACTTGTGTGGAGGTCCAGGTGACAGTGCATGAACCACACCCCTGTTGCCACCACAAGTCAAATGTGTCATAAAATAGTGACATTAGATAGAGACAGGTTTACAAACTAATGCATGATGATAATCTCATTCTATCTGATATAACTTTTTGTAACTAAGGGATGATGTCATATATACCTTAAAAATTTTATAGCATCATTTCTAACTTTCAAAAGGGTATGCAGAGTACTGGTGTGTATCTTCAAAAACATTATCTCATTAGAAAAGACATTGATTTAAATGTACATGTACAAAATCTTAATTTTCTCTTTTCATGCAGTAAATTTTATAACTGATTTGTAAGACATGATAATACCCAGCAAACGATTTTAATTATTCTACGATCTTGAATGAGTTTTCAATAATTGGTTTTCATCTTGAGCATCAAAGAATAAAATCATTTAAGTTGTGAGGTTATAGATGAATTATTGCACGCAACTTTCATTGCTAAGTTTTACCAACTTTTGTGGCCATGCCATGTAATCATGCATTACTAAAGTCAAAATAATTCTTGTCTTTTTTAACCGCACAGACATGTTACTATACATTTACATTTTACACCTTTCTCTTTCTGAAAAAGAGAGGAAGTCGGAACTATTGAAAGTATGAGTTGCACTTACGAACGTTTACAGTAAATTCAGTTATGTCAAATTACACCGTAAAACGCGAAAGCAAAACGAGAAACTTGACTTTGACAATAACTTAATTTTCTTCCCCTTTCTTGTACTACTCAGTTAAAAAAAAAAAAAAAAAACCTTGAGCAAGAATTAAAGAGGAAAATTTGTTTACCCGGAAACATTCAATTATCTTTATAGTCCACCAACTTTTATATAAAATTCTTTTGTATCTTTCTCTTATAAAACAACTTTCTTTAGAAAAAGGGGCTATAACATATAAAGTATATAAGTTTAAAATTTTTTTTTTTAGAGTTTCTCTATTAGAAAATACTTTTATTTTTAGTAAAAAAAACTCTTAAAACGTTTAACTTATATCCAACCATGCTTTTAGTATAACACGTCACATGCATGCTGCTGACATTGAAATGTACCAACCTGGGTTATCTGCAAAAAATCGAAAAGCAATCCAGCCACCAGCAGGAACACCAGCAGTGTTCCTCTCAACCGGGTCAACCAGATTAAACTTTGCAGGGTCTTTGTTGGGGTCATAGTTTCCAAACCCTTGTCCAACAACAAAGAAGTCATAGCCATGAAGATGCAAGGGGTGGCTCTCAGCCCCAAGAATACTAGTACCCTGCAACACCACCTCCACACTAGTGTTGAACTTGAGCACCACCACCTTCGTGTCATTAGTGACCATTGTGTTGTTCGGAGGTGTTCCTGTGTAGTTAAAAGGATTCAAAGGTGTGACAGGAAAATCAGTCTTGAAAACCCCATTAGACTGTTTCAAATAGTAGGCTTGAATGAGGGAAACAGATGAAGGAAGTGCAAAGGAAATGTTGTTCACTGAGGCTGCAAACTTGGTGCTGTTACTTGGCCCTTGGCATGTTGTGTTTTTAGGGCAAGGACTGGTCCCTAGTCCCACGGTGAAGAAAAATTTTCTGTCCACTTTTTGGGGTACTTTGGCGGGGAATTTATCATTGGCCAAGCTTCTGAATTTTGCTGTGAAGTTTGCCACAACGTTTGTGGCGTTTATGGGTGGCAAAGTTGGTTTGAGAAGGGTGAGATTTTTGTGAGAAGATTGGTGCTTGTAGAGGAGGATACCAGTGGTTGTGGAGTTGTCAAAAGTGCCACGGCCAGTGAAGTAAGGCCTAGCAGCCATGAGAAATGTGGCATTGGGAAAATAAGGTTTGGTTTTGAGAAGAACATTTGTGGTTTGTCCTGGGGCTATGAGGAGTGTGTCTGTGTCAAATGGTTTGGTGTATTTGGCATCTGCTTCAACCACAGTTAGGCTGTGATTGGCTATGCTAAAGAAGAGCTCTTCGTTGAGTGCAGCGTTGATCAGCCTCAGCAGATATGTCTTGCCTGGCTTCACCTTTAGTTTGAATGTATCTTCAAGAATCATGAAACATCATTAGTTTTCTATCATAGATGAATAGTCACTTGTGTATATGTAGTTAGTTATTGATTTTCAGACATTAATTTGGTTGTCCCAATTAGTCTACTCTATACTTTAGCCTCTCCTAACTTTTGTCTCTCACATAAAATTTGGTTTGTAACATTTGATCTCAATAATTAATCATTCTCCATTCATATTTGTCTATATATACAAGGCTTTTTACTTTAAGAAGATGTTTTTTTTTTTTGTTTTCATTTAATGACTGACACTGTTAGTATAATAATTTATTTATATATACTGATAAATAATCAGAAACAATCTTGGATATGACTTTTAATATAAATATTGTAAAACTCAACAAAACTACTTTCGAATTTTTTATATGTTCGAAGATTTATATAAGAAATAATAAAAATAAGATAATAATTTTGCTATTAAACATAAAAATAAAAGTTAGAAATAAAAAATATTTTCTCAAACTCCAATTCAATTTTCGCTCCTAGCTTTTCTACTTCATCTTCACCCGTAACACGTACGTGGTAAATGTGAAACATGGTAAATATGATTGTGAAATGGAAAATAATGAAGGTTAACAATGTACTAAGATACTTATAGTATCTAACTACACTGTTAATATTCACAAGTTCCCTACTCTATTTCCATCTTCAATCTTACCAAAGTGCATCCTTTCATTAAATAGATTGAAGATCCAACATTAGGGTGCCATTATACAAGGCTTTGTATTGTACCTTTAGAAGAACAATTATACAATGGTCCAGGAAGTCCATTGATGGTGTATGCATCTGAAACATTAGGTCCCCCTCCTGTTTGCAAGGCCTTATAATAATTTATTTATATATACTGATAAATAATCAGAAACAATCTTGGATATGACTTTTAATATAAATATTGTAAAACTCAACAAAACTACTTTCGAATTTTTTATATGTTCGAAGATTTATATAAGAAATAATAAAAATAAGATAATAATTTTGCTATTAAACATAAAAATAAAAGTTAGAAATAAAAAATATTTTCTCAAACTCCAATTCAATTTTCGCTCCTAGCTTTTCTACTTCATCTTCACCCGTAACACGTACGTGGTAAATGTGAAACATGGTAAATATGATTGTGAAATGGAAAATAATGAAGGTTAACAATGTACTAAGATACTTATAGTATCTAACTACACTGTTAATATTCACAAGTTCCCTACTCTATTTCCATCTTCAATCTTACCAAAGTGCATCCTTTCATTAAATAGATTGAAGATCCAACATTAGGGTGCCATTATACAAGGCTTTGTATTGTACCTTTAGAAGAACAATTATACAATGGTCCAGGAAGTCCATTGATGGTGTATGCATCTGAAACATTAGGTCCCCCTCCTGTTTGCAAGGCCTGACTTATAACAGCTTCAGGGTCAACATTAAACCATTCTCCTGCAATTCCAAACCATGCAAATTACCACCATGTATATCACTAAATATACATATATACAAACAAATATATATATATATATATATATATATATATA